ATCTGAGAGCGCGATTCACAACGCTGCGATCGCGTCTCGTGTGTCGGGTTTCCCCCTGGCTGCGATGACAGCCGTTAATCGCTGTAGTTTGTCGCTGCCCGTGTGTCGAGCCCTTTAGTCAATTTTACAGATTTTAAGCCAAGATTAGGCATGAGTCTCTCCCACCACATACTACTGTATGACTTTTAACATAATTATCAAAATCTCTCGATATGGAATGAGACCGCACATAATGGCATTTACGTTTGATCAAACAGATCACTTTGTCCTTTCTATGACTTAGTATGAAACTGTGACATGAAAGACAGCGGTGATATTCCTTTGAGGAACTCTGAGCCTTTAGTCTRTTAATGTTTATTGTTCCTCTAACCAGTGGTGCTTCGTCAGGAAGGAGCAGCAGTTGGTCTATCGGGCAGAAGAAAAGCTGTTTCACCTGCCTGTCACTGTGACTTGCAGGTTGCAGTGTGTGTCAGGAGCCGGGCTGGTGCAGCTTCCAGTGTGTGTCTGRGGGTAGAGTTTCCTCTTGACACCCAGGAAGATAAAATCCACCGCTCACACATTTCACCACTGCTGCTAAGTGGGTGATCTATCACACCCGAGTTATGCAATATCACACATATACACACWGGTAGGAATCAAAACAATGATGGTGATCTAATAGATAAAGGAAAAATCCGTATATTACAACATGGCAGGGAGCCGACAGGCAGTGACAGCCAGGAGAGAGAGCGAGATTATTGGAACACACACACACGCACACACAATCTTTTATAACACACACAGACACTCAGATGGTGAGATATGTCTTCCAGTACAGAGATGTGCTCTACTGTATTCTTCTTGTCAACAAGGTACAGTTAGATTCATTCAGATGAACAGTATAAGGCAAGAGAATAAAACAAGTCCCTGGTATTCAGTTTTTTAAAATAACTTTTCTAATATGTCATTTTTTTCTGTTATTGAACTCAATTAAACCTTAATGCAAAGAACTTGGTAAGATCTGCTGACAGAGTATAAAAAATGTATCATTTAGGGAACTGATAAATGTAACAGTGATCACAACAACTCTGGTATTCTTAGAAGGAGTGTGTATCGTTACAGTTTTATCTTAGGATGAAAAGAACAGAGTTGTAGCTTTTGGGTTGAACATTGTAAATGCTGTAATGCACGATTGTAAGCAACACTGTGAGATCTTGCAAGACACGTCAGTGCTCAGAGTATGTGTTGTAGTTTACTCTCAGCTACCTCCACAAMAAATTTCATCTCTTTATCTGTAAAATTGACTACGTTTTAGCTACTTATGTTGTTGGCTAGGTTTGATGAGGTAAATAAATTGGCATCCAACACAGGATTTTTTAAGTTTAAAGTTTCATGAGATATTTTGCTAACAAACAAATAGATTTGTTGCCAACAGTTAATGGGAAATTTTGGGACAAGAATTGTGTGTGACGTGTAATGATTAGAGTATTGGAGTTATTACTGTGTTATTACAACACAAACTTTTTTATCAATAAATGCGATATTGTTTAAGTTCTGACCATTTTTGTGTTTCCTAAAATCAATTATCTTGGGSAGCCATCTTGAACTGAGTTGAGTCCAGATGTTATGGATCTAAAGATGAACATACAAAGATTATTTTCAAGAATTTCATTAAACCCTGTCCAGYGGTTCATTGGATATATTACTAAAATACAGACACAGTTGACATTAGTCATTAATGTCAGTGTTTTACAAACAAAWGTCATGTGATTAGTTACCCAGAATTTTTCCTGGGAATAAATCTCACTTACTACTTCTAGGTTTTAGTACAGTATCAGTAAAGTTGACCAGGTCTTTGCCTTTTTGATGTTAAATAATTTTTGTTGCATAATTTTTGTTTAGCTGTAAATGGAAGTTGTTGTGTCGCCTGTTTTGAATGGGGTTGACTCCAAAAGTAAATAAGTTGGAGATGTTCATACTTTGTGATATTTTTAAGTCTGTTTGGTGAAGCATGAGATACAATATTTTGCAGACAGCTAAACACACAGATGCTCATAAATGTCACTGTGCTTTTGTCTTTGGTGAAGGCTCATAAAAAATGTTGTTGTTGTTGAAAACAACAACAACATTTATCTTTCTTCCCTGAATTCTGGTATGTTTAGTGACAGATTATTTTACGCTGTTTCAAACTTTACAAATCATTCTGTTGATCAAATGTCATTAAAATGACCTATTTATTTGTTTTTGATCACAAACATAAAGATATGACCACAGAGGCATGTACTTCCCGGGCTTTTTTTCTGAAACAGTTGGATAAGGAACAATGTTTTTGTTAAAAATTCCACTCTTGACAAGTGGACGGAGTCACTTTCTGTCCCATGGAGACGTGAGTTTGTTTCCTGTTTGATAAAATTAAAATTTACTTTGAGACTTCTTTCTTGTGTTCATTTACGTTATTAAATCTGAACTGGTTTGGATCAGATTAGAAGACATAACATTAAAATATGTTGAGTATTGTTAGGAAAACGCGGTTCATAAAAAAATAAATTAATCCCTATTCCTTTAAAAATAATGCTACACACAAACATATGACACAAAAAATATTACATAAATTAAGAAAACAAAACTTTTGGCTTTGATATTTTGCTGTTTGAGTCTGTGTTGATCATAAACCTTTTTCTTTTATTTTCAGGGAAAATGGCGTCAAATGCATCCCTAAACAGACTGATAAAGAACTGGACCCTGAATATGGATTCTCCTGAACTTTTTAATGAAACGTTAACAACACTTTACATGTCATACTACATTTGAGTAAATAAGACAGGTAAAGTAAAATTTGCTAAAATATTTCTCTTTGGCACAAGATATTTTACACTGAGAATATTAAAAACTCCACTTAAAATGTTGTTTTCTTTTCATTTTAATATTGCTTTGTAGTTYTTTCTGGATGATATTTTGCTCTTGATTATTTTGATGTAAATTCTGAGATACAGAAACCTAATGTTTTTGTGATTAGTCATGATATATGTTTTTAACAATAAGCAGTTTCATGAAAAAATATAGCTGAAAAATATTTTTAAAAAATATTTTATTTGATGTTGACATCTTGTTTACCATTTGAATGGGCGTCTGTTTGTTGTTTACATCTGTATGATCCAACAAAGCAACCATTTTTTTTATTATTTACCAATTTG